ACAGAACTTGGCTGGAGAACCTAGACAGAACATGGTAGGAGAACCTGGATAGAACCTACAGACAGAACCTAGAAACAGAACCAAGCGAGAGAACCTGGGGAGAGAACATGGCAAAAGATCCTGGACAGAACCTGGCAACAGAACTTGGCTGGAGAACCTAGACAGAACATGGCTACAGAACCTGGCTACAGAACCTGGCGACTGAACCTGACTCCGTCCACACCTTTGGGGACCCCTGGACCCGCTGGGGTTGGACCCCAGCAAGCAGAGTTCTGAAATTATATGGCTACATAGACTTTTCAAGGTTATGAAAAGGTTAACAAATTTGAGGGAACTGTAAAAGAATGAAATCAGTATCACAAACACTTCTTTACAAAATTTATCAGTAAGAATTTGTTTCACATTTACACTCCTTGAATTTTTTTTTCTTCCTGGGAAGGTTATCTCTCACTAATTCATTTGTTCATTCATTTAATCAGCCATTCAATCAATCAACAAATCTTTATTGAGCATCCATTATTTGCCAGATTCTTTTCTAGGCAAATAGTTACAACTTAAACGTCATCATTGGGAGGTGGAGGGTGATAGTAATGAATACCTGGATACAAGAGACAGCTATTTAGAAAAGGAGCCAGAAGTTCAAAACCAAGCAAAGCAATATGTAAACAATATTAAATCTCAGCACGGGCTGGAAAAGTGTTTTCACTTGAATGAAATACAATTTCATTTAAAAGAATTTGTAATTCATCCAAAAGTCCCTGGCTCTTATAAAAACGAATATTTCCTCGCCCTGCCGGTGTGGCTCAGTGGTTGAGCGTCAACCTGCAGGAAGTGGGCCTCTGTGATCCATCTCCAGCATAGTCAGCTTTTGATGGAAACTGTTCCTGAATTTTTCCAGGGCAAACAGAATATAGGGAGGAGGGAAGAGGATGTAAGACAGTGGTTCTCAACCTTGGCTGCACATTAGAATCACCTGGGAATCATTTTAAAATCCTGATTTCTGGGCCTCATCCTCCGGAAATTCTGTTTCTTTGTTATGGGGTGGGGCCACATTAGTAAGGGTGGGGCCACAACATTAGTAACAAAGAAACAGAATTTCCAGAGGATGAGGCCCAGAAATCAGGATTTAAAAAAGATTCTCTGGTGATTCTAATGTGCAGCCAAGGTTGAGAACCACTGATGCAAGAACAAGGAACTGTGGATGTGGGCCAGCATCATGGTGAAAACCCCCAAAGCGCCTGCCCCAACTAGATGGGGAAGGTGGAGACAACTAGAATAGGCCTCAGACCAATTTTTTTTAATGGCCCAATGGGAGACAATAAGACCTACCTGACATATGAGGAGACAGGTGATCCCATAATACTCAGCCAATGGGGAACTGGAGGAGGGACTGAATAAATGGGTTGTGATCACTGCCCAGCTGTGCTTGTGCAATCTGGACTGACACCGGCTCTCAAGAACATCTTGTTTTCACCATACTTCTGTCTCCGAGTTCATTATTTGAATTCAGACTGGTGAGCATTTCTCACAGACCTATGAACCAGGAGGTGACTGTTCAATTCCCAGTCAGTGCATGTGCCTGGGTTGTGGGCTCAATCCCCAGTGTGGGGTTTGTAGGAGGCAGCCGATCAATGATTTTCTCTCTTCACTGATGTTTCTATCTTTCTCTCCCTCTCCCTTCCTCTCTGAAATCAGTAAAAATATATTAAAATAATTTCCTCAAAAGGAAAA